GGGTGGAAAATACTGACCATAAGACGCATACATACTTATTAGCAGCAAAGACTCGTGTCGCTCCTATTAAAAAATTATCAATACCCAGACTCGAGTTATGCGGGGCAGTATTACTATCAAAATTAGCTAAATCCATTGTGAATAGCCTACAAATATCAAAATATTCGACACAATTTTGGACCGATTCTACCATCGTCTTAGCATGGTTAAAAAAGCCTCCTTGTCATTGGAGCACATTTGTTGGAAATAGAGTCTCGGAAATTGCTGATAATGTTGGACAAGAAAATTGGAGACATGTTGATTCGGAAAATAACCCAGCTGATATTGCGAGCCGTGGATGTTCGCCTGCAGAGCTAAAGACTAGTGATCTCTGGTGGCAGGGACCTCAATGGCTCAGAATGCCAAAAGACCGTTGGCCATCGTATGAAATCCCAAATGACACAAATTTGGAAGCCAAAACGGCAAAAGTCATGACGCTTTTCGCGGAAAAGGAAGACCCTTTAAAAAATTTCTCCTCTTTATCTAAAATTTATCGCTCATACGCATATGCCCTAAGACTCTGGAAAAATACTGGAGTAAATAGACAACACCTTCGCACTTCAGCAAACGACCTTACATCAGAGGAAATCCAAGATGGAAAACGATCTTGTATAATTCGTACACAAAAATTCGTATATGCAGACGAATACAACGCACTTATGAAAAAGACTCAAATTTCTCCTTCAAGTCCTCTGTTGACACTCAACCCATTTCTAGACTCAAAGGGTATTATTAGAGCAAATGGCCGATTGGTACAATCGCCAGCCCTTACCTACAGCGAACGTCACCCAATAATATTACCACATGGCGCAAAACTTAGCAAATTGTTAGTCGAATTCACTCATAAGGTTACTTTACACGGGGGTAATCAATTAATGACCCGAGTATTAAGGTCCGAATTCTGGATATTCGGACTCAAGTCGCTTATCAAACAAACCATACGAAAATGTCGAATCTGCTTAATTCACAAAAAACAAACCCAAACTCAAATAATGGCTTCGCTACCACCTGAACGCACTTTTCTTTCTCGACCCTTTACAAACACAGGGGTAGATTTTGCAGGACCCTTTAACATTAAAAGTTATTCAGGAAGAGCCTGCTTTATTACAAAGGGCTACGTGTGCCTGTTTGTTTGTTTCGCCACTAAGACTATACATTTAGAACCAACAAGCGATTTGTCGACATATGCCTTTCTTGCCGCTTTTTCTAGGTTTATTAGTCGGCGAGGTTGTCCGTCTTGTATATTTTCGGACAACGGAACAAACTTTGTGGGAGCGGTTGATCTATTAAAGCGAGATAGACTAGCTTTCATGAAGAATATTCAAAATAGCACAATTCAAAATAATTTCACTCAAAATCTTACTTGGAAATTTATTCCTCCTGGTGCTCCGCACATGGGCGGCTTGTGGGAAGCTGGCGTCAAATCATTTAAAACTCATTTACGAAAAAGTATCCCAAAAATGAATTTCACTTTTGAAGAATTTACAACTATTTTATCAAGAATTGAAGGCTGCCTTAACTCACGACCCTTAAGTCCTGCTAGCGACGACCCAAACGACCTTTCCCCTTTGACACCTGGTCATTTCTTAATAGGAACACCTATTCTTACCCCAGCTGAACCAGACATTTCAGATACAGATTTAAGCTTAGTCAATCGTTGGAAAAGACTCAAAGTTATTTCACAATACTTTTGCAACAGATGGAAATTAGAATATCTTCACGAACTTCACAGAAGAACTAAGTGGAAATATGAAAAGGAGAACATCAAAGAAGGAGATTTAGTTGTCGTAAAAGATGATAGATTGGCTCCGCATGAATGGAAGTTAGGTCGTATCGAAAAAACGTATCCAGGTAGTGACCAAAATACCAGGGTTGTAGACATACGGACGGCAAGTGGCAACATTAGCAGACCCATTACAAAAATTGTCAAATTGTTTTCCGACTGACTAGTCGGATTCCCACTCAAAAAAGAATTTAGTACTCGCCTCAATTTCTTTTCAGATATGGCCGCTTACTTGCCTTACCAGGACTGCCGTCTGGACGATCGCAACCGTAGCCCAGACTCACCTGCCCGTCCCACAGCAAGAAGCGCCAATCGACCCATCCATCGTCCCAGTTCCACATCCCCTGAAAGGCGACAGAGAAGTCGATCCGACGTAAGACCCCGCCAACGCCAAGAAAGACCAAGCTACTGGCAATATTCATGTGGGCTCTGCCAAGATGACCATGCCCTCAGTGCCTGTGAGAGGTTCCGCAGACAGACGCCCTTCCAGCGGTATGAGACCGTGGAGCGTCGGGGGTATTGCCGAAATTGCCTGGCGAGAAGTCATTTGGCCCCCGACTGCCCGTCTTTAACTGGTTGCCGGAGATGCAACGACCGGCACCATACCCTATTGCACGGGGCGTCTCAGTTGGACGAGGTATCCCTCAACATCGAGGCCATTACAACCCCAGCCTTCGCATGGGATTTGGTGTTTGTACCAACAGCGATGGTACGCATAACGGCCGAGGGCATGGAGGGGTTCAGTATGCTGCGAGCCATTATTAGCCAATCTGCGACGATGTCTAAGATTTCGTACGCCGCGTTCCGTCGCCTGGGTCTGCAGTCGCGGAACTACAGAGGGGAGCGATTCACCACCTTCACCGTTTCGCCCCGCCGCACAAACTCTACTTGGAGTCTGAAGGTAAATGCGCTAATAATCGAAGACCTGCCCAGACGCATTTACTCAGACCCGATACTTGAAGACCCCACTAGATGCTTTACAAATTACGCCCTTGCTGACCCTGATCCCCGAGGAAATAGTCCAATCGATGTGGAACTGGGAGCGGACACGTACTCCGCCATAAGGAAAGATGGGTGTACAGCAGCTGGAATTGGAGATGTCCTGGCGTACAACACTCAACTGGGCTACGTGTTTGCTGGGCCAATCAAGAACATGCCGAGGAACTGAAGACCGAGGATCCTTATGGTATATTAGAAATGAATACTTACACTTGTCATTCGGGGCCCAGAAAATGTTCATAATATTGCTATTAATTTGCCCAACACTGTTGGTTGGGCATTTACCGGCGGCCGCATAAATGGCATCATAACAAAATGATGTAAATAATGTAAATACATACACACATACATTTATGCAGCCACCGGTAAATTCCAATGCTGAATTCTAATAACTAAGCATCGTCAACAGCCAAAACAGGTTTGATGTGACGATGCAAATTGGACAATAGTTAGTTCTCAAGCAATTACCGTCGCGAAGACAAGTTTCCCCCCCGAGTGACAAGTGATCAAATTATCTAATTAACATTTAACATAGAACACAGTGAACAACAACAAAATTATTAAATATACAAAAAAAGGAATATTTTACATACAGTGGACATTATTTGTTAACAAAAATTTAAACAAATTTACACAACACAAAAATATTAAAATTGTAAAACAACCATATAAGAAAATTGTGCTAAAACCTAAAATTTATAAAATAAACGAAGTGCAAAATTTTGAATATAAAACTTTAAATTATATTAAACTAAAACTTGAATTCTACTTACTTACAAACTAATGAATAAAACCCTAAATGTAAAATTGCACTACCCCCAAGAAAAAATATAAAGAATTATAAATAAAAACACAAGATAAAAAACAAAACAAATTTTTTATTATTTCAAAGGCTCAAAGGCAAAAAAGGTAAGCCTAAAAACATTTGGTCCTCCAGAGCCGGATTAAAAAAGTGAAGTTTTTTAAATTATTAAAAACGAAAAAAAATTTTGTGAGTGGACGGACAGAAAAAAAACAGTGAAAAAAGAACAGTGAAAAAATACAGTGGGGTGCAAAAATAAGTGGAAAGTTAAAAAAGTTTTGAAAAAAAAAATACAATAAACTTTGGAAAAATTTTTCAAAAAAAAAATAGACAGTGAACAGTGCAACGAAAAGAGACTATACACAGTGTTACAAAAAAATAAAATTTTTAAAATTTTAGAAAAATTAAATTTTTTCTTCAATTTTAAAAAATATAAAATCTAAACAATTAATAAAAAGTGATAAAAAGTTTTTTATACAAAAGAAGACAATACACAGTGTTACAGAAGAGACGTTAAAAAGTAATATTCAAGAGACAATTTACAGTGACACAAAGAGCAACAACCAGGACAATTGTGGAAACAGCAGCAAAGGAGAAGCGGACGGACACGCGCAGCACAACAACAACAAACAAGGTACAACATCGAGACCCGGAAAAAAAAATCTAAAGTGAGTACTCGTGAAATTTTCTTTTTTGACACAAAAGGGCATTTCGGGAGCAAGCAAATCTTTAATATTTGCATTGACCCGCATATTCCCATAATTTGCAATAACACTTTGACCCATATTCAAAGCTGCTAGTTGCCCACTCTGACACAATGACTGAAAATTTCCCAATTTTGAGCCATTTTTCTGGACGGACATTTGGCTTTTGACCCGGTAAAAAACAGGCAGACATATTCTTTTCTGAAAAACGGGAATTTTCAGCCATATACAAATATATATACTAAAAATTTTGGAATTTTCTGAACGTGGAGTTCAGGCGAATACATAAGCGCCATATTGACACAAACACATAAGCTTTAAACTTTGGAAAATTGGCGTCACCAAGAAAGCACATAAACGCCATATTGCAACAATTTTATATACAAATTTTGAAACAAAGCGTCACTTGCAATATATAGTCGCCATATTTTTTGGACAAATTTGGCGTCATCCGAATACATAAACGAGTAAATAAAACCCGTTTAAAAAATAGCGTCTGGTGGACAGACGAAAAATAACCTAAATTTTTTTGAAACATTTTTTGAAAAAAAAGCAAGCGTCTGGTGGACAGACATACATGTTATACAAAACCAACAAACGTATTTGAATTTTTTGAAAAAAAAAAATTGGCAAACAAGCAAGCGTGGACAGACATACATGAGAAACTTAAACTACAAATTTTTTTTAAATTTTGGAGAACAAATTATATATCGGAGTCTGGTGGACAGACATACAATCGATCCCATATATTTACAATTTTTTATTTTTATTCTAATTTTAACCTTTTTTCCCATTTAGCACAATATTTATTGCTCTAAGGAGCTTAAAAATTTTTTCTGTGACCCAAAATTAATTTCTTGCATTTTTCGCAGAAATATTTTGCTGGTATACTTTTTTGATTTTGTGACACATTACACGACTTTTTGGGAAAAATTTCTTCCTTGGATTTTTTTTTTTCAATTTCTTGATTTTTGCAATTTCTTGAATTTTTCTGCAATTCCTTGAAATTTATGCTGAAAATATTTGGATTTTGACCCAAATTATTTTCTTTTGAAATATTTTGCTGGGACATAAAATTTTCCGCTGAAATATCTGGACCTTGACCCAAATCAAATTTTTTGGAAATTTTTGCTCAAATTTTTGGATTTTTGACCCAAATTATTTGTTTGAAATATTTCTGCTGAAATATTTGGATTTATACATACATAATTTTCTCTAATTCTCGTTGCGAATTTTATCGAAAAAATTTGGCGAATTTAGAAAATTTGTTGAATCAGACAAATTTTCACAAGCAATAATCAAAGTTATTGGTTATAAAATAAAATCCTCCTTTCATAGGATATTAAGTGATTTTAACCAAAAATTTTTAAAATTTTTTTCGACAACCCAACACACATTTTTACTTCGTTGAAATTTTTTTGGATTCTCTGAATTTTTTTTGGAATTTTCAACTCCTCGTTGACAATCAAATTAGACTCTCGTTTTTTTTTGGAAAAAATTGTTACTGAGCAAAACATCTCTGGTAATTTCTGCTTTGCAATTCTCGTTTAAACACTTTTGTTTTAAAAACTTTTGATTATTTGTCGAATTGCAAAAATAAAATACTCCTGTAAGTGGACTTTAAGAGATTTTATTTTCCTTTTTGCTCATTTTGGCGAAAATTTGACCCTTCTGGCAACCCAGCAAACATTTGTAATCAAGTCAGTCCGGCGTCAAATATAAAGAAAATTTTTGAATTTTTGGAAAAAAATTTAAATTATTGAAAGGAACGAAATATAAGTTGATTCAAACCAATAAAATAAGATCGTTTTCGTCGACAAATATTGGAGAAAGAAACTTATCCTCATTTTAAAAATAAAAATTTGGATAAAAGTTTAAATTCTAAACCCAGTTAGTCCTTTTCATTGGGCAACTTTTCTTTTTTGTAAACCAACAAAATTTCGTAAAGGTTAACGCTCAGTTTTCAAAATGGATAAAACTTTAAGCGATAAATTCATAAATTGCGTCAACGATCTTCTGGATTATATTTCAATTTTTTCAATAACCAAACCTGATGACACGGTTCATACTTTGGAAACAACACGAATGGAGTTGGACTCTGCATGGGACCAGGTCAAGAGAGCCTACATAGACTGTCGGGATTATGTTCCAGAAGAGGAAGGAAAGCCGATTGATAAAAATAAACTGAGGAAGCACTATATGGATACCATGGGATCGTACAAAAAAGCGCTGAGTTCAATAAATGGACAAATTCAAAATCTTTTGGATGAAAAGACACAGGAAAAAATGAAAAGAGAGTCAGAGATGTCACAACAAGGAAGGGAAGTGGATTTCACAAACGTATCGCGGCTACCTCCATGCGATACAGACACATTTAAAGGTGGTTACAGAGAATGGCCGACTTTCAGAGATCTATTTTCGGCAATTTACATAAACAACTCAAAATTAAGTAATGTCGAAAAATTATTCCATTTGACGCAAAAGACAGCAGGAGAAGCAAGGGAAATTATTTCACATGTCCCACTAACTAATGATGGATTTACATTAGCATGGAAAAATCTCACAGATCGTTACGAGAATAAACGAATGCAAATTAATGAAGAAATCAAGACACTTTTTAATCTACCTGGAGTTTCTACTGAATCAAGTCACTCTATTCAAAAACTACAACGCACGGTAAATAGCAGCATTCAGACACTGGGGATACTTGATGTCGACGTTAAAGGATGGGATCCGATTTTAATATACATTTGTTCAACAAAATTACCTAGAGGCTTTTTAGAAGAATTCGAGAACTCATTAAGCGATTGTAAACAAATTCCAAAATGGGAACAGTTTGACGCTTTCTTAACAAACAAATTCAAAACTTTGGAATCAGTTGGAAATATAAAGCCCTCTACATCGAAATTTGCTCAACAAAAACCAACTAACAATCACACGCCTAGATTTTTGAAAACATTTCAAACAATTGTCTCAAAAAATACAAACAACTTTGGAGGAAGACCTACTAATGTAATATTACCTCAACAAAATAAGCCGAAAAATACTCAAACTTGTCAAGTCTGCAAATCAAATCATTTCATAAGAGATTGCAGCGAATTTTTGAAAAAGAGTGTGAATGACAGAATTCACATCGTGAAAACATCACACTTATGCTACAATTGCTTGTCATCAAATCACGGAGTAAAGGATTGCAAAAGTCGCTTTGGCTGCCGTATTTGTACTATGAAACACAACACTTTGTTACACAAGGGAACGGAAACCCAAACAACTAACTCATACCTAGCTCGAGTGGAAGCACGACCTAGTACTAGTGCTGCCGCTCTTACAAATCAAATACAGTCCACTACAAACCTAGAACCAACTACTATTACTACTTTGACCCTCCAAGATAAGCAAATTTGTGAGCGACAATCTGGAGGAACACTACTCTTCACAGCAATAGTACAAATTGAAACCAAAGGACAACTTTACGATGCCCGAGCTCTAATAGACTCAGGATCACAATCCACCTTTATTTCGGAAAAGATGAAAAACTTTTTGAAGTTGCCTACACGGAATAACTTAGTTCATGTCACTGGCTTAAGTCAATTTGTTTCTGAGACTTCAACAAAATCTTGCTTGTTCACTATGAGATCCAAATACGACCCTAGCTTTAAACTGGAAGTCTGGGCTCCAGTTTTAAAGAACTTACCTTCAAATCTACCACCACAAAACTTAGATGAATCACAACTTCGAGATGTAACAGCATTAGAACTGGCTGACCCGAAATTTTACGTTAGTCAACCAATCGATTTACTTATTGGAATGGACATAGGACCATTAATATTCACAATTGGAACTCCAATGAAAACATTTGGATCAATTTTAACACAAAAAACCAACTTTGGATGGATAGTTGGAGGACCCATACCAGGAAGCATCCTTCAACGAAAACAAATATCACTTCTAAATACAACTTCAATAGAGAAAGTACTTACACGTTTTTGGGAGGTGGAAGAGACCCCTAAAAAAGTTTTACGGTCAGAAGAAGACCAATTTTGTGAACAAAACTTCATTGAAACAACAATACGGAACAAGGATGGAAGATATGTGGTGACTCTCCCATTCAAAAAATGCGAGGAATTGGGGAATTCCAGAAACATCGCCCTAGCTCAATTCTACAGAATGGAGAAAAAACTTATGAAAACACCAGAGATCAAAGAACAATATGATGCCTCAATACTAGAATACTTAGAACTTGGTCATATGAGGAAAATCAATCCGAATGAAATAGATAAAATGCCAAATTATTATCTACCACATCATGCAGTAATTAAGCCAGATCGAATCACGACAAAGTTAAGAGTCGTCTTCAATGCTTCTTGCCCATCATCAAACAAAACAAGTCTCAATGACATATTGTTTCCGGGACCCATTTTACAACAAGATTTGGTACTACAAATTTTAAAATGGAGATTTTTCAAGTATGCCTTCAATGCAGATATAACAAAGATGTATCGCCAAATACTTTTGGATCCAAATCAAACAAAATATCAAAGAATTCTCTTTAGAAAGTCTCCGGAAAACCCAGTAGAGGATTATGAGCTGCTGACAGTTACATTTGGAGTTAACTGCGCACCATATTTAGCATTGAGAACTCTTCTTAAACTAGCAGAAGATGTCAAAGAATCATACCCTAGAGCCGCAAATATAATTTTGAATAATTTGTATGTTGATGATGTATTAGCTGGCGGCCACACTGAAGATGAATCAATAAAAGCTCGAAAGGAATTAACTGCTGCTTTAGACTCTGCTGGTTTTACACTAATGAAATGGGCATCAAATGATCGCAAAATAATACAAGATATTCCACATGAACATTTGCTACCACTCAATTGGCTAGACATTTCCGAAGATGCTTCAACTAAGACCCTTGGAATTCGATGGAATATCTCAGGCGATTATTTTTCGTTTACACCGCCCTCAATGGAAAATAAAAATGTATCTTCAAAACGAGAAGTTTTATCAACGATAGCCAAATTGTTTGACCCATGTGGATGGCTGGCACCGGTGGTCGTCGTAGCTAAGTTAATAATGCAACAAATCTGGCTAGACAAAATTGACTGGGATGATCAATTGAAGCCAATAACTCAGATGAACTGGAACAATTTCGTCAAAAATAGCAAAGATATTGAATATCTGAGAGTTCCTCGATGGATTCAATACACGCTAGATGGTTCTGTAGAGATTCATGGATTTTGTGACGCGTCAGAAAGCGCATATGGAGCCACTCTTTATATTCGGGTGGAAAATACTGACCATAAGACGCATACATACTTATTAGCAGCAAAGACTCGTGTCGCTCCTATTAAAAAATTATCAATACCCAGACTCGAGTTATGCGGGGCAGTATTACTATCAAAATTAGCTAAATCCATTGTGAATAGCCTACAAATATCAAAATATTCGACACAATTTTGGACCGATTCTACCATCGTCTTAGCATGGTTAAAAAAGCCTCCTTGTCATTGGAGCACATTTGTTGGAAATAGAGTCTCGGAAATTGCTGATAATGTTGGACAAGAAAATTGGAGACATGTTGATTCGGAAAATAACCCAGCTGATATTGCGAGCCGTGGATGTTCGCCTGCAGAGCTAAAGACTAGTGATCTCTGGTGGCAGGGACCTCAATGGCTCAGAATGCCAAAAGACCGTTGGCCATCGTATGAAATCCCAAATGACACAAATTTGGAAGCCAAAACGGCAAAAGTCATGACGCTTTTCGCGGAAAAGGAAGACCCTTTAAAAAATTTCTCCTCTTTATCTAAAATTTATCGCTCATACGCATATGCCCTAAGACTCTGGAAAAATACTGGAGTAAATAGACAACACCTTCGCACTTCAGCAAACGACCTTACATCAGAGGAAATCCAAGATGGAAAACGATCTTGTATAATTCGTACACAAAAATTCGTATATGCAGACGAATACAACGCACTTATGAAAAAGACTCAAATTTCTCCTTCAAGTCCTCTGTTGACACTCAACCCATTTCTAGACTCAAAGGGTATTATTAGAGCAAATGGCCGATTGGTACAATCGCCAGCCCTTACCTACAGCGAACGTCACCCAATAATATTACCACATGGCGCAAAACTTAGCAAATTGTTAGTCGAATTCACTCATAAGGTTACTTTACACGGGGGTAATCAATTAATGACCCGAGTATTAAGGTCCGAATTCTGGATATTCGGACTCAAGTCGCTTATCAAACAAACCATACGAAAATGTCGAATCTGCTTAATTCACAAAAAACAAACCCAAACTCAAATAATGGCTTCGCTACCACCTGAACGCACTTTTCTTTCTCGACCCTTTACAAACACAGGGGTAGATTTTGCAGGACCCTTTAACATTAAAAGTTATTCAGGAAGAGCCTGCTTTATTACAAAGGGCTACGTGTGCCTGTTTGTTTGTTTCGCCACTAAGACTATACATTTAGAACCAACAAGCGATTTGTCGACATATGCCTTTCTTGCCGCTTTTTCTAGGTTTATTAGTCGGCGAGGTTGTCCGTCTTGTATATTTTCGGACAACGGAACAAACTTTGTGGGAGCGGTTGATCTATTAAAGCGAGATAGACTAGCTTTCATGAAGAATATTCAAAATAGCACAATTCAAAATAATTTCACTCAAAATCTTACTTGGAAATTTATTCCTCCTGGTGCTCCGCACATGGGCGGCTTGTGGGAAGCTGGCGTCAAATCATTTAAAACTCATTTACGAAAAAGTATCCCAAAAATGAATTTCACTTTTGAAGAATTTACAACTATTTTATCAAGAATTGAAGGCTGCCTTAACTCACGACCCTTAAGTCCTGCTAGCGACGACCCAAACGACCTTTCCCCTTTGACACCTGGTCATTTCTTAATAGGAACACCTATTCTTACCCCAGCTGAACCAGACATTTCAGATACAGATTTAAGCTTAGTCAATCGTTGGAAAAGACTCAAAGTTATTTCACAATACTTTTGCAACAGATGGAAATTAGAATATCTTCACGAACTTCACAGAAGAACTAAGTGGAAATATGAAAAGGAGAACATCAAAGAAGGAGATTTAGTTGTCGTAAAAGATGATAGATTGGCTCCGCATGAATGGAAGTTAGGTCGTATCGAAAAAACGTATCCAGGTAGTGACCAAAATACCAGGGTTGTAGACATACGGACGGCAAGTGGCAACATTAGCAGACCCATTACAAAAATTGTCAAATTGTTTTCCGACTGACTAGTCGGATTCCCACTCAAAAAAGAATTTAGTACTCGCCTCAATTTCTTTTCAGATATGGCCGCTTACTTGCCTTACCAGGACTGCCGTCTGGACGATCGCAACCGTAGCCCAGACTCACCTGCCCGTCCCACAGCAAGAAGCGCCAATCGACCCATCCATCGTCCCAGTTCCACATCCCCTGAAAGGCGACAGAGAAGTCGATCCGACGTAAGACCCCGCCAACGCCAAGAAAGACCAAGCTACTGGCAATATTCATGTGGGCTCTGCCAAGATGACCATGCCCTCAGTGCCTGTGAGAGGTTCCGCAGACAGACGCCCTTCCAGCGGTATGAGACCGTGGAGCGTCGGGGGTATTGCCGAAATTGCCTGGCGAGAAGTCATTTGGCCCCCGACTGCCCGTCTTTAACTGGTTGCCGGAGATGCAACGACCGGCACCATACCCTATTGCACGGGGCGTCTCAGTTGGACGAGGTATCCCTCAACATCGAGGCCATTACAACCCCAGCCTTCGCATGGGATTTGGTGTTTGTACCAACAGCGATGGTACGCATAACGGCCGAGGGCATGGAGGGGTTCAGTATGCTGCGAGCCATTATTAGCCAATCTGCGACGATGTCTAAGATTTCGTACGCCGCGTTCCGTCGCCTGGGTCTGCAGTCGCGGAACTACAGAGGGGAGCGATTCACCACCTTCACCGTTTCGCCCCGCCGCACAAACTCTACTTGGAGTCTGAAGGTAAATGCGCTAATAATCGAAGACCTGCCCAGACGCATTTACTCAGACCCGATACTTGAAGACCCCACTAGATGCTTTACAAATTACGCCCTTGCTGACCCTGATCCCCGAGGAAATAGTCCAATCGATGTGGAACTGGGAGCGGACACGTACTCCGCCATAAGGAAAGATGGGTGTACAGCAGCTGGAATTGGAGATGTCCTGGCGTACAACACTCAACTGGGCTACGTGTTTGCTGGGCCAATCAAGAACATGCCGAGGAACTGAAGACCGAGGATCCTTATGGTATATTAGAAATGAATACTTACACTTGTCATTCGGGGCCCAGAAAATGTTCATAATATTGCTATTAATTTGCCCAACACTGTTGGTTGGGCATTTACCGGCGGCCGCATAAATGGCATCATAACAAAATGATGTAAATAATGTAAATACATACACACATACATTTATGCAGCCACCGGTAAATTCCAATGCTGAATTCTAATAACTAAGCATCGTCAACAGCCAAAACAGGTTTGATGTGACGATGCAAATTGGACAATAGTTAGTTCTCAAGCAATTACCGTCGCGAAGACAAGTTTCCCCCCCGAGTGACAAGTGATCAAATTATCTAATTAACATTTAACATAGAACACAGTGAACAACAACAAAATTATTAAATATACAAAAAAAGGAATATTTTACATACAGTGGACATTATTTGTTAACAAAAATTTAAACAAATTTACACAACACAAAAATATTAAAATTGTAAAACAACCATATAAGAAAATTGTGCTAAAACCTAAAATTTATAAAATAAACGAAGTGCAAAATTTTGAATATAAAACTTTAAATTATATTAAACTAAAACTTGAATTCTACTTACTTACAAACTAATGAATAAAACCCTAAATGTAAAATTGCACTACCCCCAAGAAAAAATATAAAGAATTATAAATAAAAACACAAGATAAAAAACAAAACAAATTTTTTATTATTTCAAAGGCTCAAAGGCAAAAAAGGTAAGCCTAAAAACACATAGGGTCTAAGTAATATGTTAACTAAATAATACTAAAAATGCCTTACAAAAGTGTCATCAAATATATATTTATGAATGAACTACAAGACCCATTGACACAGACACACACACACACAGATTGGCACATATTTTCTTTGGCAACTTTAATTGTAGGTCAACAAATTTCCACAATCTGTCCTCCAAAAATATATATTTATGAATATGACATGCATACATATGTGTGTGTGTGTTTCGGCACTTTTGCGTGTGTGCCTCTATGTTTAGAACTAAATACCCATGAAAATATAAAAGTAAAAATTATTTGAATAGAAGAAATATTAAGAGTCAATAGACTGACATTGTGAGTGAGTGCTGACGATATATTTTTATTTAGGTTTTTTTTTCTCGATTTTTTTTTTTTTTTTTGGTTTTGAGAATTTCCGATTTAAAAATAGATTAGTTTTGCCATTTTTGTAAAGTTTATTTCTATGGATGTCGGTCGGTCGGTAGGTTGGTGTGTCAGTTTGTTTGATTTTCGGGCTAAAGAACATTTGTTTAGTTCGATTGTTGTTGTATTTTTTTTGTTCTGTTTTTTTTTTTTTTTATTTGTAAATGTTTGAGAAAATACCAACACGCCGCAGTAGTGGTATTATTATTAATAAGGTCAATGTCAGAGAGCCGTGCAAGCGTAGTGTTTTGCAAATGGCTTTTTGGCGTTAAGTAGCTGGCGGATTATGCAGTAGGCCGCGATGATCAACTAGCCTGTCATTAGCTATTGGCAAAACGTTTGGCGCCCAATGTCTTGACTTTCTAATTGTTTCAATTTGACGAAAGTAGCTGAGTGAGTGGGGAGAAAGAAAGAACGACTTTTTTTGTTTTTAGAGGCGAATAAGAAGGAGAGGGGTTAATCGTATGCATTCGATTTGTAAAGGCACAATGTGGCGTATTTCTATTGAAAAATGTATGTTTTTGCATTTGTAAACAATTTTTGCATTTTTTAGAAGGAAATTGAATCAATGAATGCTTGAATTGTTTCAAACCAACCGCATCACCTAATTAAATTTGAAATATTATACCCTGGCGTTTAAAAAAACACTTTGCGAGGGAACACGGAAATAAGTTCTAAATGTATTCAGAACATGGTAAATGCGGTAATGGGAGTAATTTTGATAAATATTGCGAAACACCTAGGGCTATGCAAAAGTTGGATCTGGATGTTTTTTTATCCTCCACCATTCTATGGAGGGTATATTAGCTATGTCATTCCGTTTGTAACTCCTCGAAATATTCAGAATAGACCCTGCAAATTATATATATTGTGGATCAGCGTAAAATTCTAAGACGATTTAGCCATTTCCGTCTGTCTGTCTGTCTAACCGTCTGTCTGTTGTAATCACGCTATATTTCGAACGAATTGAGACAGAAGGCTAACATTTTGAATACATGCATAGTTTACCAGTAGGTAGGTTAAGTCCGTAAATGGTTATGTCATAAATTCGTAAATTCGTCATGTCGGTCAAGGTTTTCGTACAGCACCCATATAACGGTACCTCCTGATATTCGGTATTTTCATGATTTTAGCGACATTATTTTTATGGGAAATACTTCAAATTTCCCATTTGAAATTCGCAATAGGTACTACAGCCTATGACAACAAATTTCGTATGCAGGTCCACGTCTTTGAATAGCCCCCCATATAACTGTACCTCCAAATATTCGGTATTTTTTTTTTTGATTTTAGCGACATTATTTTTATGGGAATTACTTCAAATTTCCTATTTGAAATTAGCAATAGGTACTACAGCCTATGACAAAAATTTTTGTACGCAGGTCCACGTCTTCGTATAGCCCCCACATAACGGTACCTCCCGATATTCGGTATTTTGATGATTTTAGCGACATTATTTACCGGAATTGTTTCAAATTTGGTATTTGAAGTTCGTAATGGATACGACAGCCTAAGATAGAAAATTGTCTGTGCAGGTCCAGGTCTTCGTATAGGCCCCATACATCAGTACCTCCCTATATTCGGTATTTTGACGAGTTTAGGTACAATACCCACCGAAATTGTTTGAGATGTTGTATTTGAAGTTCGTAATGGATGCTACAGCCTGTGACAGAAAATTGTCTATGCTGGTCCAGGTCTTCGCACAGCTCCGATATAACGGTACATCCCTATATACGGTATCTTGATGATTTTAGCTACACTATTCACCGTTTATTTCAAGTTTCGAATTTGAATGGTAATGGCTTATGACAAACAATGCCTATGTAGGTCCACCTATGTAGACCCCAAAATAACGGCTATATTCGATATTTTTTAAAATTTTAACAGAATTTTTTAAGGATTTTATTTTTTGAAAATTTTCAAATTCGGCCCGGTCGAACTTACTGCTTTTTAACTTTTTTTTTTTTTTGAAAATGTTCAAGTTTCTTAGAAATGGTGGAGGGTATTAAAAGTTCGGCCCGGCCGAACTTAGGTTTTTTTTTTTGTAAATAGCATTTCTACCCAATAAGAGCACAAAATGCCAAAATCTGGCGAAATTGAAAGAAAACTATTGCAAAAACTTAAAAAAACTACTTGATATCGGTGTTATGTCTCTATTCCATAAAAACTTAAAAATGCCAAACTGTGGCGAAATTCAAAGAAAAACATCGTAAAAGCGTAAAAAATACTTGAAATCGGAGTTATGCTCCATGGGGGCCACTCTAAAAATGATCCATTTTCTGATAACCAATGATAATCTATAAGATGTCCAAAACCTAATCCAAAGATCTCTATCAAATTTTAAAGCTCTATTTAAATTGTTAAGACATATACAGGGTGAGATGAAGAAACTGCAACCAATTTCAGACTGCTGTCATTTCTAAGCCACTCGCCACTCGACAGCTGTTAAAATTATTCCAGTGACAGCTCATTAAATTGTTTACATGAGCACAAAAGCACTTTGGTGCGAATTTTCCAGAAAAAAAGGTAATCCTGATGGAATTTAAGGGTGATAGTGTGATTTCTTTATATTTGGCTGGAAAACCACAAGTGGCTATCGTTAGAGCACTCCAGCATTTAAATGCTCGTTACCGCGATACTGGTAGCGTAGCCCGACGTCAAGGAAGTGGACGTGGATGGAAGAAACCTGTAACAACAGCCGAAATGGTTCGTAAAATAAAGTAGCGACTTAATCGAAACCACCACCGCCGAAAAATGTCTCGTGAGCTGAACATATCGCAATATTTCATTCGGCAAATATTGAAAAATGAGCTCGGGGTAAAGCCATTGAAATTCCAAAAAGTGCAAGAACTTACACCGCAACAGAAAGAAAATAGACTCAAAAGAGCTAAAGACTTGTTTCGCTTGGCCGACAGTGGTGAACTGCCGAATTTGGTTTTCTCCCATTCGTTGTCCAGCAGTTTGTAAACAAACAAAATGATCGCGTTTACTTGTCAAAGATGTCAGCTGAAAATATGCACCGACTTCGGTTGGCCACCAGAACTCAAGCGCCGGCCATGGTGATGGTGTGGGCTGCCATAACAGTCTTTTGTCGCTCTCAGCTCGTATTAATCGGCCGTGGCATCAGATTAATTGCCGAATATTATCACGAAAATATTCTGGAGGATGTATTAAAGCCTTGGGCACGCAAACATTTTGGACGCAGACCTTGGACATTCCAACAGGGCTCAGCACCATCGCACTCAGCACGCGCCACCCAAGAATGCTTACTAAATGAGGTTCCTCGCTTCATTTTCACAATGGCCACCAAAATCTCCGGATACCAATCCGTTGGACTATTGTGACTGGAGTATTTTGGAAAGCAAGGATGGCACTAAAAATTTTTTCATTTTGCCGGGAATCGGCCAAAATACCGCAGAGCATCATTCGGGCAGCGTGTGACAGTTTCATTGGCCGTTTGAAGGATATAATTCGTGCCAAAGGTGACCAATTCGAATAAATCTAAACTTATTCTAAAATTTGATGCTATTTCCAAAATTTTTTGCTTTCATTCAATAAAATTATAAAAAAAAAAACAAGTTAAAAAGTATCAGTCGGTATTGCCGACAGATATATATACTCAGCCTATGTTCGATTAAATAATCGAAATATTAGGATTTGCAAAGTTAGAGCAAAACCGGGTAATCGTTTCTCTTTCTGTGCAAAAAATATATTTTATATATATTTTTTGAAAATTTCGACCTTTTTTTGGGGAAGGTACCAAAAGGAGTGGACCGGTGTATTCCCTCTTAACACCAGACCTTGGGTTAATAAAAATATTGGGATATGTGAAATTTGAAGACTATTTGACTCTTACATCACATTTTATAAAAGTTGTAATTATTCAAAATTTTGACCCTTTGTGGGGGAGGTCCTTGATGGAGTGGACCGATATTGTCCATTTTCGCACCTTACCTAGCACTGATGAAAATATTAGCATTTGCAAAGTTCGAGCAAAATCGGATTATCGTTTCTCTTTGTGTGCAAAAAATATTTTTTGAAATTTCGACCTTTTGTGGGGGAGGTACCAGAAGGAGTGGACCGATACATTCAATTTGCGCACCAGACCTTGTGCTTATAAAATTATTGCAATGTGTGAAATTTGAAGACTATCGGACTCTTACATCACATTTTATAAGAGTTGTAATTATTCAAAATTTTGACCCTTTGTGGGGGAGGTCCCTGATGGAGTGGACCGATATTGTCCATTTTCGCACATGACCTAGAACTGATGAAAATATTAGGATTCGCAAAGTTCGAGGAAAATCGGATTATCCTTTCTCTTTCTGTGCAATAAATTATTTTCTTTGAAAATTTTGACATTTTGTGTGGGATGTACCAGAAGGAGTGGACCGATATTGCCCATCTCCGAACTCGATCTAAGTTTGACAAAAATATTGCGATGTACCAAGTTTGGGTCAAATCAG